GTCTCTTTCACTTTCAGACCTGCACTGAAGTATCTCAGGACGAGTCACACACGTAGAAAACATGGAGGAAGACATAAGAGTACTCTAATACACCTTAGTACTCTATGGTGTATCAGTACTCTAAGGAGTATTAGTACTCTAAGGGGTATCAGTACTCTGAGGAGTATTAGTATTCTGAGGAGTATTAGTGTCGGACACAGACTAGATAAAATCAACATGTTTCCACTTCCTCCAGAAATGAAGCCATGAAGCCTCAGAATGAAACGCTGCCATCTAGCTGTCAGTCTGTGCAGCAGCAGCTTGGACCTGAGAGTTTCGGTCCCTGATAACAAACCTCTGCGTCCTCCGGCTTCAGTCTCTCAGTCAGAACAGAGACTCTCAACTCTCAGGACTTTCTCTGTCTCTGTCTCAGTCTCTGTCTCAGTCTCTGTCTCTGTCTCTGTCTCTGTCTCAGTCTCTGTCTCTGTCTCAGGAAGCTGACGAGCACAGGTGAGACAGTAAAATCCAAAACTCACACGTTCCTTCTCCTGTTGAACCATCACTGACGTTCACATAACGAGGGACAAAGGTCAACGTGTCACACTCTCGTCTCGTGATGTCACCTGAAGGAAGCTCTTATTGTTTATGTTCATCTACAAACAGGCTCCTCCCACTCTGCTGAGCCGCGTCGTTATTGTTAAAGGAGACTTGAGTTTTCTCTCCTCTGGTGATCTTCAGCTCAAACATCAGCTGCTTCTTCTGCAGAGAACTTCACAATCCACTGTGTCACTGTCTCTTTAATAAGGCGGGGTTTATATACACGTCATGCCACACCCACCAAACCAGAGGAAACACACCTTCGAGCTCGTTCGAGAGGAAACGTGTCGTTAACAACCAAGTGTACGACAACGTGTTGAGACTTGAACGTGACCCAGGTGAAGAGAGAGCAGATGTTTCCTGTTGACCAATCACAACAGAGAGGAGCAGCCGACCAATCAGAGCAGACTTCATCAGGAGGGGGGGGTCTTAAAGAGACAGGAGCTTAAAGCAAGAGTTAGAGACAGAGGCTGAAAAGAGGAGCAGCAGCGATGGACAGTCTGAGGACAGAGATTCAGAACATGAAGACGTTTGACATTAATATCATTAAATGATCAACATGAAGAGAAGCTTGTTGCTTCATCAGACTCTGAAGTTTCATGTTCCTGTAACTGATCTGAATAATAACAAGATATAATTTCACGATGTGTTGTCGTCTCAGCTCTGAGTCTTGATTGACTGAGGGGTGAATTTAAAAAGCGTGTATCGGTCACTGAGTCGGACTCTGACCATTTGTGGACGCTCCCTTGGAGGAAGAATGTGTTTCTTGTGTGTACCTGTGGCACAATGGTGTGTTTGTGGAGCAGGTAGGCTGGGCTGGAAGAACAGAAGTGGCAGAACCTGTCGGGCCGTTTTCTCAGGCCGGCAGCCTCCGGGTTTGTTTTCACATCTGCAAACGTCAGGTCGCCTCGAGATAAGAAGGAACAAACCTGTGGTAGAGTTAAAGTCTGACTTCTCGCTGCGTGAAAACAAAGTGGAGTCATGAAAGACTTTAAATCTGCAGAGAAGAAGTTAAGAGACAGAAAATCAGAGACGACGCGTTGGAACACGCAGCAGATTCATGATGGAGTCTTTAAGAACATCAGGGATTGAAATAAAGACGTGAAGGAAGCTGCACTCGTTTATTTTTGAATCTTTCTTTTATTCGATGAAAACTTATTTTCTTAATCAAAGTTCTATCAGTTTTTTGTCTTTCATCTGTCGGCTCGGCTGTAAAACTGTGATGTCACGCGTCTCGATGCACCAATCAGAGTCAAGAAACATTAATGTGGGAGGTCAAAGGTCAAGGTCACTGTGACACCACTAAACGTGTGTGTTACCTTGTGAACACGACGTCTCAACAACGCCTCAAGAGAATCTTTTCAGATTTGGCTCAAACGTTCACTGAGACTCATGGAAGCACTGATTAGAGTGTGGAGGTCAAAGGTCACAGTGACGTCATTAATGTCTCAAGAGTTTCTTCAGATTTTGACCAGTTCAATTTCTTATCATACAACACGTGACACATGATGAGTCTGGACGAACATGCATGTAAACTGCAGATGAACTGGTTCGGTGAGACGATCAACTTCGAGGCGATGAATTATTATTTGTATTATATCTGTTGATTGAAAACACGAAATGTTTGCATTTTCAATATTTTCTAGAGTTTTTGCTCAGACAGCGAATTGTCCAAACTGAAGGTTGTAATCTGGAGGACGAGTTGTAATGTTCACCGTGGTTGTTAGATTCTCGTGCTGTTGTGGGCCGTTGTGTTGTCAGAGTGTGTAACTGAAGCGCTGCAGAGATCTGCTGATGTTTCCTCTAACGGGAGCTGAACAGATAACATCAGAGGCTTCTAACATCAGCCAAGTCACGACAGGCCCGACGCTCCGATGACCTGCGTGAGAAAACCTCCCTGACGGGTCTCGTTCACCTTTGCTCCTCCTCGTCAGTTTCATGTGAAACGTCAGTTTGTGGACTGAAGGAGGATCAAACCCACGTCGCCTCCAGATTCCTCACATGAGGGTTTCTCTCTGTTTCCTGCTGCTGAAGCCGGAGCTCCGGTCGTTCCTCAGCTTCAAGCCGCCTCACATTCCAGAAACACTCAGTGTGTGGTGGACGTTGTGTGGTTGTGGGATTTGTTTGAACCTGCAGGCCTCCTCCACCTCCTCTGACATCACGTGTTCGTGACTCATCAGTGACATCATTCACTATCTGAAGTGTGTGTATAGACTGTTTGGCTGCTTCTTCCTTCGTTTTCGTTCAGAGAGGTTTTCATGTGGGTTTGAGGTTTGAAGATGATTCAACTGTTTCAGTAAATCCACCTGGAGCGTCTCTGGACTGTCGCTCGCTGCAGCAGCTGATTCATTTGAAGCTGCTCTGACATCAGAGGCAAATAATCTTCGAGACGATTTTAATTTTCAGTGTTTTCAGCGTGTGGAGTCGATGGAAAACCCCTGAGCTCCCATGTGTCACATCCCAGGATGAGATCATCTGGACCATCAGCTGCTTTCAGTTTTTTAGAAGAGAGGGCCGGGACGACCGAGGAGTCAGTATCCAGGGGCGGATCTAGAGACATTTTCATGAGGTGGCAAGAGGGCGGGCCCTTAGAAATAAAACTGTAAACAATAATTCATGAACCTCGATGTAAAGAATCAGACGTGTTCAGGGACTGATGCTTATGAGTGTGTGTGAATGAATCTAAGGTCGTGTTGGTGGAGGTGTGAGCTGAGGGTGTCCACTGTTTCAACTCACATTCAAGTCTGTGAACCAGGTTGTCCTGTGTGTGTGTGTGTGTGTGTGTGTGTGTGTGTGTGTGTGTGTGTGTGTGCGCGCGCACAGGGAGGAGGTGCAGCAGAACTGTGTTCGATGGAGAAAGAAGTTCTCGTTTGTGTGTAAGATGAGCGCCAACCCCATCACCGGAGTGTTGGACCCCTGCGTCTGCAGAGTCTCTGTACGCAAGGTAAACTACAACTCCCAGCAGCCCCCTGTCCTGGCCTCTCTGGGTTCTGTAGTTTTTACAGTTTTACTCTGTTTTCCAGGAGCTGAAAGGAGGAAAGGCCTTCTCAAAGGTGAGTGTGAGTTTTTATGATCAGCAGCTTCTCACACAGACGACGTGAAACTTGATAAACTTTAGAACTTCCTGCTGAGGAGACGAGTTTCACTGAGTCAGAGGAGCAGACGAGTAAACACTGCGTCATCATTTGTTATCACAGTCACTGCGTGTGTGTGTGTGTGTGTGTGTCATGGACCAAACTAAGAAATCAAAACAGACGTTAAATAAATGTTTAAAGATGTTTCTGTCGTTTCAGCTCGTTCTTCTCTCTGATGTTTGTTCAAATGTTTCTCATCAGTTTGGTTTAATTAGTTATTGATGATGTACAAACAGGCGGAGACGTCCTGATTGACAGCTGACACTGACTCAGGATTGGTCAGTTCACAGTTCATGTTTTTACTTTATCTTGTTTTTCTCCTCGTGTGCGTTTGTTTGACTCCAGCTCGGTTTCGCTGATCTCAACATGGCAGAATTCGCTGGATCAGGCTCCACAGTCCGCTGCTGCATCCTGGAGGGTTACGACACCAAAAACACCCGACAGGACAACTCCATCCTCAAGGTACACACACTCACACTCACACACAC